CAACAACAGGGCTGGGCTGCTTGTTCCACACCCCCACCCCCCTCTGTGTACAGAAGAGCCTACTGTCCTGACTGGAGGAGCTCACCCAGCTGTGTCTGGAGAGAAGCCAGGGTATCGGCTTCAACAACAGGGCTGGGCAGCTTGTTCCCCACCCCCACCCCCCTCTGCGTACAGAAGAGAAAAGCCAGGCTACCTGTGTATCAGAAAATGAAGGCACATTGAGGTTCATTCTCTAGCAATCTCATATACAGTACACTCATCTGTCTGTTGTGTTTAGAGGAGTCAACCCAGCTTCAGGGTCCTGTGTAATGCTGCTGTGCGCTGCCTGTCTTCCAGTTCCCCCCTCGGTCAAGGTGAGCGCCACCAAGCTGCTCAGCTCCAAGCACCCCACCATGCTGGTGTGCCATGTGACTGGCTTCTACCCCCAGCGCATCACGGTCACCTGGCTGAGGGACGGGCTGGAGATCAAGACCGACGTCACCTCCACCGACCTGCTGGCCAACGGGGACTGGACCTACCAGGTGCACTCTCACCTGGAGCTGACCCCCCGTGCCGGGGAGACCGTCGCCTGCAGAGTGGAGCACAGCAGCCTGGAGCGCCCCCTGGAGGTCACCTGGGGTGAGGCATCTACTGTCCTACTGCTCAAGCTTTTAAAGATGTATGAATTCCCCAAAGAGTGTATTGTTTCTTGTAACCTTGACTCTCAGTTGTGTGCTAAAACATAACATAAATACGCACAGATTGTAATAATTTTTTCAAAACATTTAAAAAAAATGTTTTAGTGTCTGAATCCCATAGGATGATTTCACTGGCACTACCATCATAATCCCAGATGATTATTTATCTGGCAAAAGAAGAATGCTGACAGATGTTTCTGTTGGGCCTGTATTATGACAAGTACATTATTTGCACGTACTGTATGATGGGTTACAATTGAGAGGAAACCTTTTCAGCCCATACAGCTTATTTGGTTGGTTACTAGACACAGTTCCAGCTGTGTCTGGAGAGAAGCCAGGGTATCGGCTTCAACCACAGAGCTGGGCAGCTTGTTCCACACCCCCACCCCCCTCTGTGTACAGTAGAGCCTCCTGTCCTGACTGGAGGAGCTCACCCAGCTGTGTCTGGAGAGAAGCCAGGGTATCGGCTTCAACAGCAGGGCTGGGCAGCTTGTTCCCCACTCCCACCCCCCTCTGTGTACAGAAGAGCCTCCTGTCCTCTGTTTTAACTGCTCTTCCCTGTCCTCTGGTTTATGTTTCACTGTTGATGCTGAAGAATCCCAGTAGGTTGACTTTGTCATTAATGTCATTAAGGATTCTGAATACTGGTATGAGGGCCTCTCTAATTCTCCTGATGCTATTTGGAAAATGTTATTGTGATCCCAGAAAGGGTTCTGGTGGATTTGCAGCTGGGACACAGATTACAGCTGAGAAGGGCTGTATACAGGCACTATTCCTAGGGCCTATGAAAACTAAAAGGCTGTATTTATTTTATTTTTTTCTTTGTATGATATAAACTGTAAAAGAGAGCTCTTCTTGTTTAAATATAGCAGAGTTAGGATGACTGAAAAAATATTTCAGGTCATTTTGATCTTGAAAATGGGAAGGGAAAGAGAAGTGCTGAAGACACAGTGGCCCTGTGGCTGAGACATGTAAGGAACAGATGACAATAGACTGTTTAGACCCCCTGACTAATTGTTCATATCAGCCCCATCGGATGAAGTAACTTCAAAAAGGAATCCATCATATGAGCAAGCAATCTGAATGAGGAATTGCTTTCCGGTATTATACAGAATGAATCTATGTAGCGTCTCGTGTGTTTGTACCTATGCAAAGTAATACAATACCTCTTAGAGGCAATTTATCCCCAAATCAGTCAATTGTGAAACCCAGTCCATCTGTATGAAATAAACAGTTGTGCTCTTTGTGGTGTGAACTGTGTCGGCTATAAGGTGATAGATGTGTGTTGACGCACCTCTTTGATCTCTTGCAGCTTCACACATTGACATAAATGTCATTGGCTGCAAGTCGGATGACCCAGTGGCACAAGATGAGGCTCAGCTGGACGGAGACGAGATGTTTTATGCCGATTTTGACAAGAAGGAAATGATACTGACACTGCCGGCGTTTGCTGACTCCTTTGGTGTAGATCCAGGATGGGTACAGGGCGCAATAGCAAATCGACAGATCTGCATCAACAATTTGGAAGTTGCTATCAAAGCTGAGAACAACCCTCCAGAAAACACAGGTAAATAGTTTCACCTGTAACTTTGTATATAATATATTTGGATTGATTTTCATGATTTTTTAAAAACATTTTGTGTGTATTTCTTAATTATGGAATATATGCCCCAACAGCCAATGCAAACAGTTTAGGTTTTTGTTCTTACTGAATATAAAATTATTAAAATGAATAGCTGCAAAGACAACACTAAATTGTGGATGGATTAATAAAAGCTGCATCTGAGATTTTGTATTATGTTTTTGTATTTTCAGACTTGTAGCTTGCGTCTTGTGTGGTGACTGGTGTGGGTGTGATTGTTGTGTTGTATTCCCCCAGATGCTCCTGTCAACACTATCTACCCCAGGGATGAAGTGGAGCTCGGGAAGCCCAACACCCTCATCTGTCTTGCCAACAACTTTTTTCCCCCTCCGGTCAAAGTGAGGTGGACCAAGAACGATGTGGATGTGAGCGAGCAGGCCACCCTCAGCCGCTACTACCCCAACAGTGACGCCACCTTCTACCAGTTCTCCACCCTGAGCTTCACGCCACAGCTGGGCGACGTGTACTCCTGCAGCGTGGAGCACAAGGCCCTCCCGGAGCCCAAAACCAGGATCTGGGGTGAGGAAAGATCTGCCTTGACGAGTGATGCCAATTGAGTTCTGCGCACGTACAGCAGAGACCTGCCGAAGAGACTAGACCGCTCTTGCCCAGCGGCAGGCGCTCTTTAAAGCGGGCTATTTAGAAATCAGTCACGAGAAAAAATGTATTGGAAGTGCAGTGTGGAGGGGAGAGCAGGGCTCTGGACTCATAACTAGTCACAGGTTACAGGTTGCTGTTGCACCTGAGTTGTTCTGTTAAAAGCTGACATGCCATACATATAAGTAAGTGTGAATGTGAGTCAGACAAATATAAGCTATATAAATATTTTATATGAATATAATTATAATCATGTCCTTGTCCATTAATGTGATGTGTTTTCTTTACTGACATGAGAAGGCCAGTGCCTGTGTGTCAGTAAAAGTCATGCTATATTTCTGCTTTATAGAGCATTATAAGGATAATCGTGTAATCAGAAACAGTCCCTTGGTATCTTTGACTGACTGTTGATTTAATCTCAAAACTGATGTCCATTGTTAATAGTAAGGTGACAGTGAAAACAGTGAGAGGTCAGAGACATGACTGTTCAATAATCTCTATTTCAGTAGTGCAGTTAGATCCTTATGACTGTGACAGAGGGAGGAGGTGTGTGGAGGGTATTTGTGTGACTCTTAGCTGAGGGAGTGAGTATCGGAGAGGATAAGGGCTCTGTACTCCACAAGGGTGTAGATGTGGTGGTAGGAGGGATGCAATAGAGATACATGGTGTGATTAGAAGTTTGCAACATGCATATCTGTTAACAACTCAAGTAGTAATGACTGCTATATGAGCTGTATATATTTGCATAAAAGAAACTGCTTTTGTTTCCAGACAAAATGTCTTACTTGCTAAGAGAGTGAGTTTTCTGCCCTGTATTAATTTAGAAAATGTATGTTTTTTTGTAGTTCAATTAATTTTGCTTTAGTTCACTTTAAAACTCAAAC